AAGATCCAAAACGTGTTGTAGAGGAGGGGTAATTTATTGGTGTGTCAAAGTGTGCGATCTTCTGAGAACAATTTTCATCAGCGTGCACTACGTTCCGCACAGCAGATTTGCAAGCCCGCTCATCCACTTTATGGTTTTCCACACTATATATAGCGCACACCGCAACTCAGATTACTACACACAGAACGAAAGTGGATCTGAATCTCAAAACTAGCGCCTGTAGTGTATAACGCTAGCAAATACCAGCTCAAAGTAGTTAAATCAAGTGAATAAAAAAATAGGCGAGATGCTACAACTCACAGTTCGTTGGTACAGTTAGTTATTACCACCACAATAAATCCAAATCGATCTCCTTCCCGGAGTCTTCCTTGACATATTCCTAGATACCTTCTATCCCGTCGTAGTCTGAAAGGGAGATCACCGCTCGTTAATTCACTGCCAGCGTAACTCGACACAGCAAGAAGGGAACATGCCTTTCACGAGGTACGGAATTTGTATTGTGTGTATACACCCATATTTCTTTGCTTTCATTTAAACAAAAGTTATTCACTATGAAGAGAAGAGGAATAAGCTGAGATTTAGTGAGAGATACAAAGTGGTACAATTTGAGTGATGGTAAGTTACAAAGAAAGCACTAATGTACGATGGTCAGAAGGATCACCATATGCCTACCAATCCCTGACCCCCCTACAGATTCATGGCCCTATTCGAGCACAAACGAAACCCGTTAGTGACTTGTTTGCGGGCGTATCTACTTTCACCATTTAAACCTCTTATTTGAGGGGTGTTTTCAAAGCCATTCTAATTGGTTGCTCTGCCTCTTAACCAGTGTGCAAAGCTTATGATCAAGTCAGCTCTCGTGCTCAAACTGATTCATTCAGAGAGAGAGAGAGAGCCAAATTCTTTATCCGGAGCTCCCACCACTCCCATAAAACCCCTGCCCATGGATAAGAACCAGTTCACAGAGAGAGAGAGAGCCAAATTCTTTATCCGCGAGGTCCCACACTCCCATAAAACCCCTGCCCATGGATAAGAACCAGTTCACTCCATTTCTTCCAGAAATTCTCTGATAAGAAATTACATCCGTGACCTATTTCGTCCTCAGAAATCCGTTACCACACACACGATATTCTTTTCCCCCATCCATCCTACAAAAGTTAGCACTCAGTTGAAACCGACTAATCCATGGGTGCCAACTTCCAATCTAACATACCTCAAAATTGCGGTTGGTTTTTCTCAGCAAGCAGAAACTGGACAATGCATCCTGCCATTAATTCAGCTCCACAATGTGGCGCCTGTCATCTCCGACAACGGAAAGACCACCCCCAAGAAATAGCTGAGGACTTACCTAACAATATTCCAACCCAATCGATTGGTAGGGGCTGTTCATCTATGGTTTTTGAGACACTAGCACAATGTAGACTAGCTCCCCTGCGACCAGCATACTTGTCCATGGGCCCTTTATCTAAAATATTCTTGGTAGTGGTTCCCCGCCCTTCTCATAAAAGCTAACTGACGCCGCGTCCAGAAGAACCCTCGGGTAACTCATCACCGAAAAAAATCATGCAAAACGAAGAAGCCTAACAGATTCTCCCGTTTTCCGTGAACCTGCTTGGGTGGGCAAAAATTCCAAGACCACACCTTAATTTGGCCAAATGTCTTCTCATTTCGGGCAGTCGCTGTATGAAATGACTTTCCTCCGACGGTCGTCCACGCTACACAGTTGTAAGCATTATTGGGCGCCTTTTTATGCAAATCCTCGCGCTGGCAAGCTTACTATCACACGCTATAAACTTAGAGAGCAGTTCTACACATTTTTTCATTTGTGCTTTTCAGACAGCCGCTGAACGACAAGAACAAAACCGACCCGGGGAAATTGGACAAATGCCTCGATCCTAGGTATCAAACCATGAATCCACACCAAAACACTCCAATTTATATCACTTTTGACTTCATCGACAAGTCCATCACCTAAAGTCAACCAATCCCCAGTTTACTGCTTGCATCCACCACTGTATACGTCTCAAAGCCGATTAACCCAAGCCTGTTCACATATACCCTACGCTTACCCACGCTACGCTCCCCAAAACTGTTTCCACTTATTTAGATTACTCGACACTGCCGAACATCTCATATCACCTAGTGCTTTCTCGATCAAGCGCGCTTAGGGTACTTAAACCTACCGGCGAATCGGATGCGGGGTATCTATAATATCGGGTGAAACGCGTTCCCGTACACCTCATATTCATGACTAAAACTTAACTCGTCTCTGAAATATGAAGACAGTAGGCCTACCGGCATGTACTACCCGTTGGTTGGCTAGTCCTGCGGCAGAACCAGCGGTGGAGGCTGTCACAAATTTGCTGAAAACTCTTGGACAGCCCGCTACCAGTTTCGCCCGTCTTGGGGCTCATCAGGTAGGCGCAGTCTCCGAGTTGCCGTCAACCTTATGTTCTACTTGAATCCAAAATCGGAATGATTTCGACAAGTAAACTCATTTGCAAATCAATTTGGCTTACACGGGAGACTCAGTGAATCTCTCGTTTATGATGTTCTTCAGGTGAGTCTGTTACCTCTATATCATGTGAACGCAGTACGTCTAGACATTGCTGAAACAACATTAGTAAACGCACAAAATAAATTTATGCCTCCAAAGACGGATTGGATTAGATGGTTCATTTCAGCTACTGGGTCCCTTTGGTACACTTCGACAGAGCAGCCGAAATATATGAGTTGCGGGATGATCTTAGGTTGCTCCATCAGTCGCGGACGTAAAACATCTGGTATTTAAAGATGAAGGACAGGGTGAAAACAAGTCGGGCACTGAGCGACACATTTATCTGATGAAGAGGTGGAATAATTTCAGCTACACAGACATCGAATCAATAGTCATTTTGAACGCCGAAGCTAATGATCTCTTCGCAAAAAAACTAGCAGCTTAGGGCCCCAGTTTTGCAACAGAGTGACGCAAAATTTAACCTGTTCAACCAACATTCCATTGTAAGCATGTTTTGCAATCGATGACCTCCGTTCTGATCTAACCGAGCGTGACTATATTGTGTCGTGCCGCGATGCCTTTGGTAACTGATTTAGACAGTGACCCGTTATTATTCAAGGAGTGTGTCCGTTGATTCTTCCGACGTAGGTCCTTTGCAACTGCAGTTGAACATATAAATGACATGTGAGACAAAATTGACACTCAAAATCTGGAACCCATTTTGACTCCGAGTTGTCGGGATCGGGCGCATTTTGGCAGCCTTCTATGTCACATGTGCAGAGGACTGGTTATTCTGGTGAATGTCTCGTGAGGTTGCGCAGCTCTTATATTAGAATATCAGTTCTGGTTACGATGGTCAGGTTGGATGGAAGTTTCGGTCTATTGTTTGAGGTAATCAATAACCCTAGGCAGCCTCTAGTTGGCAGTAAATTTCGATAACGCTTCTCTTAGCAGTTAACCTGTTGAACAAGTAGGTGCATCTTCAGAAAACAGCATTTCAGCCCTTAATGTACTATTAAGTTGAAACTCCGAATTGGAATAAGCGTACTCAGTATGTCGGTACACTTATCGTCGTGGGGAACTTTCAAATACAAGTATTGCCTAGACGATATAGACTACTCACAAGGTTGCCCCTCACTGGTTTCAACCCTCGCTGGGTTCGATTGGTAGACGCATTCCCAAAGCTTCGTTTACCCTTTCGGTTTAAATCAAATTGGATGCAGTTTGCGGAATGTAATCATCTGCACAAATTTGGATTTCCTGGGCGACTCAAATAAATCCAAGCTGAATACCTCATTTGTGCTATTTTTCGTGGGCTGTCGAAGAGTGCCCAGCAATCTCACGAATACGGCTAGTACTACTTGGATATGGAAAAGCATATTGAATTGGTCAGAGGTGAAATTCCAAATGCCAGCAATGTGCCGCCTGCAAAGAAATACACTTGAGGTAGTTTCACAGGTTTGAGTGTTCACTTTTGCAGTAGAAATATCATAATAAAAACAATAACCGTTCAGTTGTAACAATTTCTGTACCTACTTGTCATGCCACCCGAAAAAGAGCACGAAGGCCGAGCTACTACCAGACTGTTTAAGCAAATATGGCAACGATCGAAAAGCAGAGATCGGGTACTTTCTGGTTAGTAACTTCGTGCCTTAACCAGAAGCACCTCGACCTCTAATCAGGCCAAACCTTACCATATTCGAGTACTCATAACGGCGCTGCTCACTTGTCTAACAGGTTCTTCAGTTCGGAAAATTCTTCCGGTACACAACGGAGTAAGGTCCTTAAGCATCGCAAAAGGAATACCAAGATACAGCTTTATTGTGAAGTGGCCTCGTCAGAAAAGGCCATTGGCAAACAGACAGCCAATGCCAAATGAAGCATCATTGAGGGAATTATGGGTAGACCGTCAAATATGTAGCGTAGGTTGAAACAAACCCTCAGGCCATACGGAAGTACAGCCCTCCAGATGAGACCCGACAGTTGATGTTCAGCAGTGACATCCCTTCGGCGCGAACCCATCATCCAACCCGCATAAAGCACGAAGACTAAGATAAAATCAACCTGCCAAAAACCTCGACAGCAGTAGTCGAGAAGTCATTGTTGGATCTCAACCATGAACTCCGGGTTAGCAGCTTCATGTCTGGACAACTCAGCTACCTCGAGATCCAGAATACGCGACGGTCACCGAGTTTATATTAGCCGCAAGTTGGCACGTTCAGAATCAGTAAGGTGTTTCCTTGCCGTAAACCTAACCAGACTTTCGTTGTGATCCCTTCGAATTTAAATTTTGGATGACCATCCGCGCAAGTTTGCATGATTGACAAGTATAATCAAAAAGCCAGAATTTCGTGAATTATCTTCCCGTTGTCTGAAAGAAACTCTTTCGAGTCTGGATGCGGTGAGCGCAAGGACGCTTTGACTTTCTTCAGGCAGGTGAACTTAATGTGTCCTGACCATAGAGGAAAAGCTTGGGGACTGTAAAATGCAACCCGCTTTAGTTTCAGTTCATATCCGATTTCACGTTTCGATAGTAAGAAATAATCCAACCGTTCAGCTGTAGCACCATTTTGCTGCACGACTGCCCAAAGGCTAACATACTGCCAGGTTGCCCGAGCCTAGAGTTAAACAATCGGGATGCCATGGTTGGATTTGAAGCACAGACCTTCCAGTCAGCAAGTTTACTCTTTAACCACTGGGTTATCTCCAGTTCCCGCGTTCTGTTATTGGAATTGAAAACAGGCTTTTGATTCGTCACAGAATCTGCAATAAAAATGACCTAAGAGAGATTAGTGGCGTCGCTAAGCCGAACTTTCTGAGCAACTAGCCCTAAACCAGCAGACTTCCGTAAGTGATCAGACTTTGACGAAGCCGGACCCTTGTCTGGAGCCGAAATGCGAGTAGGCGTGCTGAGAGTTGGCGTTTTCAATCGGGTAAGTAACAAAGCTCTACAAATTGCTGCTGGGAATTCGCTGATAGTAACTGAACGCAGGACATAAAGGACGACGGTTTCCGCTGCTCCTGTGATTGACAGTTTCCGTACTCAAGTAGTACAGCTGTTTGGTCTTCCGACGACCGGGGGTTTCCGTTGAGATTTAACATTTGGCACTGTATGATGGCCAAACGCATCTTGTGCTTGCTTTCTGATAGTGAATGGCATGATTTGGCCGTCAGTTGGCATTCTTGTTCTCTTCTATTCAGAATTGTATGCGGTATGTTCTAATACGTGGTAGTTACATCAGAATGTCTTTATTTACTTGGAAATAGGTCTCTTAGAGCATAATGCTGGTTCCTCCAAGAAACTATGACGCACCGGCGTCAAACAGTGGATTTGCTGCACAACAATACTTGTGAATGAAGAGTTAAACGTGAAGAGCTTGTTTCAAAGGTATATCAAGAAGGGTTACAGAGCAGAGGGAGCAGTATCACAGGCACGGTGACCAAAAGCATTCGCACACAAGCGTAACGGAAACAAGGCATGCACCAGTTCCCAAAAAAGCATGTGCAGGGGGGTACGAATCATAGGGTCACAGTTGTTCAGTTGAGTTTCCGTTCCACCGGGCTTGTTCATCGTCCGAATCATCCGGAAGGTGTGAAAGACGAGCCATATTACCCTAGATGGGGGCAGAAATGAAACAGAAATGTTGAGCTGTTGGGATAAATGAACTGGTTCGAAGCAGACAGGCATCCCTTTCTCTAGTAGACTTGTGTTTGGCATCGTTGACAGAAACCAAACAAACAAAATGGTTACAAGGATGGTGGTTAGGGGCGGGGGTGGGATGACGAGTCCCCGGGTCCAAGTCAAGCGATTATATCGGGATTAATAGAACTTCCACCGGCTTTAACCTCTGAAACGGATCAAACTTCTTCAGTGGAGAAACAAATGAATGGAGCAACCAATGGCTGTAGTTGCATGACATGGTGGCAACGTTTGCGAACAGCGCACAGTGACGTGGTCATTAGTACAAGCTCCATAATGCCTGGTGAAAGCACTCAGATCGTGAAGTTCGACGAGGAAAATATGTTTGCAGGTTGGAAGTGTGTCCACTGCCTGAACAGTGATCCTGGTTACGGCTGGACAGGTTTTCCAATTAGTCAGCACCTCGATCACGCGTGGTGCTTCCGAATTTGTTGCATATAACCATTCAGCTGTAACACCCTTTCGGTGCCTAGCTGCCATGCAGCTGAAGGTTCCGAATTTGTTGCATATAACCATTCAGCTGTAACACCCTTTCGGTGCCTAGCTGCCATGCCAGCTGAAGGAGGGCTGGAATACTGTCAGGTTGCCCAAGCCTAGACAGAAGAAGTCGAGAGGCGGTGGTTGGGTTCGAACCATGGACCTTCCAGTCAGTGAATTCGCGCTCTAACCGCTGATCCATCATGCATATGCATACACGTTGCTCTCATCTAGACGGAGGTATAATCTACCGGCAAATCCAAAACAGCGGGAGGTGCAGAGTATCCCACACACAACTGCAGACATTAATTAGTATGCCCTGTTGAAATCCAGTTTCACATAAAACTTGATGTCAAAAACATCTTTCCAAAAGTCCACAGACACAACAAGTGGCTTATTTAAAGTTGAGCCGTAAAACATACATGTTCGTGGCCGAAGAAACGTTAATTTGCTGAAACGCCAATAAATTTTCAAAAACATTTCATCCTTAAAACTTCTTTGAAAGGGAGGATTCTCGTAATGTCGTAAGACTGCAAACTAGACTCAACAGAAAGTCCTTTTTCCAACGGTTAATTACTAAGAACCGACACAAGTGACAGTATTTCATCGTGAAGGGAGAACTTCAGTCTTTCTATTCTGTCACAAGGGCACAGTGCAAACAACTGTCAGGTTTTTCTGCCCGCAGGTGAAATGACATTTACATCACTGATGAATTACCAGATGAATACCTTCAACTATGGTTGTACCAAATTATATCTACAATGACGACTGCCTGTCACCAAATCACTGATAATATCTTGAACAGTCGGTGCGGCAAACCAGTCTTTTACCTGACGACGTATTGCACGATTCTCCCTGGATTTGGACGACCCGGATGATGTTGGGCCCGGCGATGAAGTGCTCTCTGGGGATTGTCGCTGTCTGGTTGTGTGGCTGGGTGATATGCTGGAGACAAAGCCGGATCCGACAGAATAAATACCACCGAGAAGCCAACCGGTGTAAGAGTACAGGGTTCCCAAGGCGCCAGAAACGAATCCATAAAGTGTTGAAGTCCAGCTGCCTGTAAAAGTAGAAAAGGTGTAATCTAGAAGAACAGGGAAGTTCTCCCTTCCATGTTGTGGGTGAACAAGCGGAAACTGTACAAAGGATATCCCAGGCAAGGTTCTGTTACAGCCATCCTAGAATTCCTCGACCTCATTGATTTAATCATGAAACTCGGGATATTGATTTTCCAAGCCATGAGACATCAGACACTGTTCAATTCTCTGGGGAAAAACAAGTATAAGTCCTCGTTCAACGTGTTGAATACAGCCTTGTGGCTGTCCGGCAAAGCTCGGTTCCCTCTCATTGCTATTGATTCTGACGAGGAAGCAACCCGGAATCAAGAGATAAGGCAACATGGAATTGAAGGGTAACGAAGAGAAAGAACGTTGAACAAGTAACGGCTCACCATATGCCGGCTGAATTGCCGATGTCGAACGACCACCAGTGGGAACAAGCATCAGGACCGCGGATGGGAAAAGTCCAAGCTCAGTCATTGTGTTCACTTCTTCTTCAGGTTCGAAAAGTCTGTCACGGAGAGGCACACGAGAGGAACGAAAAGAAAATGGCACTAGAATAGACCACATAGCTTGTATTCTTCAACGTACCTTCTCTAGTTTGCAAGAAGCCTTGGGATGATGACGTTTCTGTGTATGTCCTTATGAAGTAGGTAGCTCCAAATACCTCTAGGTAGTTAGCTCCATACGGGGGCAATCACGTTTAAAGCAACCTGTACCTAGTGAGGACCGAGAGAACTACAGCTGTGTATTCAACAGCATTTTGGAAAGACATAGTAGCAAAAGCTAGGTGTGTGATATGATCGCCAGAGTTGCAACTCCTAAACTTCCTCTCTTAAGGCAGATGGTAGCCTTACAAATCAGAGATAGAGCGTCCAACTTGAAGTGTGGAAGGTGCCTGCTCTTGTCCGAATCCCAGTAAACTCCATTGATACTCTTGTGCGAAGTGACCGAAAAAAATGAAGGCACACATTGAGGGGATTATGGTCCCAAACGTACTTGGGTGGATGGAGCTGCCGAAAACGATATCCTTGTAATATCAAACTGCTAAGTTTTTTACGGGTGTTCTCGTCGACGGTCGGATATTCGCCAGCGCCGTCTGCGTCTTGAGCATCGATGGTGATCGCTTGTTGAAGCCAGTTACGCACATCCGATGCCAAATTGGAAGTGGGTGTGAAACGGCCGATAATGTGACCACCCCCGATCATCCGAAATTGCAGGCGGGCCTACAAACGGGAAGAGATTATACTGGAGGTCAGACGTGGCACACACAGCAGGAAGCTTTCGTTAATATGGGGTCAAGGACCGTAATTTCCCTCCAGAAAGTCGCCAACTTTGCATCGGCTTCGCGGAACACAGTAACTACGGCCATGGCGTAAAGTGAAGGCTGTATAGTAGAGACCGATCAGTGAACAAGACAAGGATGTCTGAAGCTAGAAAAGTTCAAAAATCGGTAGTGCGAGTCACGCCCTTTCTCCGTCCCTCAGGTTTTCAGAAGATGGTGACCTTCCCTGAATGATCAGTACAAAGCTTGCGTCGTCATTACCCCTGACAAACAGATTAATTCGTTATTCGACATTCCACGCTTCGGTAAATCAGCGCTCCACACTCTCCTATACACTGCCAAAGTTGATCTCCTGAAAGAGTAATATGCTCTCCTGGGGAGGGACGCATCGCACACTAAGTCGTGAATGCTGGTAAGCGTTGCGTGCTCTCCGATGGAGTGGCCGCTCGTCGGAGAGAACTCTTCTCGGAAGAACACTGGGTTCTTGGTGACTTCTAAAAGTAGGCGATAGCAAAAACATCGATCACATACTTAATGTCGTCATCTAAACTCACTCTAGAGAGGTTTCGCATTGCAAAACTGGTGTTACCATGGTTGATTCACGGTAGCAGTCAATGAATCGCATCAAAACGGATGGCAAAGTCGACTGCGTTCCACCGACAGGGGAAAATAGCGCGGGCAACGCAACACTATTCAGGAATCAGCTAGGACCAGGAAGTAGTGAGGGAAATGCCGGGCCATTCTCTAGTTCTTGCCACTAACTGGTAGACTGACCTAGTGCGCCTACAAGGGGGAGATTTTTTTACTAGGAGCGTGATCTAGCAAACGTCAACTACATTCCGGCAAGTCGGAACCAATGAAAGTTGTTCAGGAAATGCTATTAGAAAACCCGTTTTCTTCAATTTCTTCAGGTGATAAACGGGACTATTGCCATGGTGGAAATCTATTTGGTTTTCAACTGGGACTCAGTTAGATGGAGTAGGCACATCGTCAGTGCGCTGAGGATGTCACCTCAACTGGCGACGAAACGTTTGCAACCAAACTGCCATGCTCAGGGAACAAAACATAATCCATTTATACCACATCTTCCTCAATAGCAGAAAAAAGACAAAAGTTTCTACTAAAACCAATTGGGTAGACAGAGAACCACACTTATCACCGTACAAGATCATTTTCACCAGTCGGCACAATCCGCTGTCTGGAGACACTTTCAGTGATTGTAGGTGCAGAATCGGTTGGAACTTGGTTTGTGGTGCCTTGTGACCGCTCTTGAAACGCTCGTCTGTCCTCCTCGATCTGCTGTCGAAGACGTTCGCGCAGTATGCGTGCTTCCGCCTCTTCCTTCCGTCGTTCTGCCATGGCTTCTTCTACCTCACGAGCACGCTGGCGTTCCTACAAAGAAACAGGAAGCAGGAGTAAAGTGACCCACCATCAATAACAGTGGTTGAACGCAAATAATGAGTCACGCGAAAGGATCAGGACCACATTTTTCAGCATGGTTTCGCTATAAAATAAAGGATGGAGACTTAAGGGGCTAACGTAATCATATACAGTACAGCGATAACTACAAGAATAAACGCCAGAGGTAGACAGAAGGACGTTTGGATTGGGTTAAACCAACGAAACGCTGGCTAATCACATCTACCAAGTCGAACAAACTGGAGCGAGTCAGCACCTTCATTGCTCACCCGTCCATATCTATCTATGACCTCTGCAGAACTGACGAGTGCGGCCAGAAGCGACCACCTCAAAGGCACTGGGGCAGCCTGCCCATACCAATATGGTGAGTTTTGAGAACCCAACTCCGGGCTTTTCGATTGCTCCTGAAAACCCATTGGCCCTTACGCTTCCTTTGAGATACATGGCATCAGTGCACTGAGAGGGTGTCATAGGCGAGTGTTTCATTTAATTTATCTCTTGCCCTCGAAATGAATTTTCGCTGTCACTCGACGGTGAATTAGGTGTTTATTCCCGATATTGTTCTCGTCTATAGTGACTTATTCTGTTCTTCACAGACACATAATCGAATCAACTGTCCAACACACAACACCTTCAGCAAACCGGAAGGTGTTCATTCAAACGCATAAGGGCAACCAGAAAGCCTAACAAAGCCCAAAAATAGTAGATCATCGATCAGGTTCAAACTTGCTTGGGTCATGCAACTGATCGCAAAAATGAAGTAGAGAGCAATTGAGATCTGTAGTAATATAACTTCGTCTGAAACCGAGATGGCTCAGTGGTTAGAGGACGAATTTACTGACCGGAAGGTCCGTGGTTCGAATCCGACCTCTGCCTCTCGAATTCCCCTGTCTAGCCTTGGGTAACCTGGCAGTATCCCAGCCCTCGTGCTTCGCTTGGGTGGCATGGCAGTCAGGCACCAAAAAGGGGGTTACAGCTGAACAATTATCTTATCCTTTTTATCCGAGGGCGACACTACTCATATCAAATAAACCCCGAGGAGCAACGGATATCGGCAGATTTAATGCTTCAGCAACTAAATCTACACACAGCAACCACGCCGAGGGTTTAACCAACTGACAAAGTGTGGATCCCATAACGACAGGATACATTTGACATCTACTGCGTACGCTCCAGCGTTCATATTCGGCAAACCAAAAGAAAAATTGAAGGTCTGGATGTCTTGGGTGTTTCCAAGAAACGCGAGTTAAGCAAGCAAACTGAGGCATGTTTCAGCTACCGCACTCCATATATTTATTGGCTGAAGACCATCGGAGCAAATTTGTGCATGCACTACAGCAAAATCCCGACCTGTGATGAATCAGTAGCTATTTAGATGAGGTCTTCATGTGTTTGACAGTGTCTGACTGTGTTATCTGTCATTTGGTTCGGCCTAGTTCATTACACAAAGGTGACTCAAAAACACGGCAGATCACAGTTGGCATGAGAATTCAATAATTGTAAAAAAACGTGCGCACAGCACAGCCACACACACACACAAGTGGCAGCACAGTATATTGACCAGTCTTCAGATAGCCATACTGGCAATGCTCTAATGTCGTTCGGTTGTTTCGTAAAAAAGGCCACTTCAGTGGTCCGAACATAAGACATTTTCACTGACCATATACGCTGTGTAGTAACCGGCATTTTCAGTATGGCCTTAATATAACTTTGGGGGCGAGATGGACCAAGCAGTTAGAGCGCGAATTTACTGACCGGAAAGTCAGGGGTTCAAACCCGACCCCCGCCTCTCGACTTCCACTGTCCAGGCTTGGGCGACCTGGCATTATCCCAGCCCTCGTGCCCCCTTCGTGCGGCATAGCAGCTAGGCACCGAAAGGGTGCTACAGCTGAAATATTTATATAATTTATTTCATATAACTTTTGATCCCGTCAACAAATAATATACTACTTCCCTGTGACAAACTCAACAATCAATACGGCGTTTTGTGATCAGCGTACATGTGCGTCAAATCACAGTTAAGAATAACTACGCCGAGTGACGTGGGAAAAGTGTGAACATAGAACGACAAGGACGAAGAAGAAACAAGAAGTTGCCTTAGAAACATGGAGCACACTAGACCGTGAAGTTCCTCAGAGACTGTTTGGCAAGATGAGTGGATCGGGGCAAAGAATGCAGGAGAACGATAGACCAAAACAATTTTTTCGCTTGAATGTGTCACAATGAACCGCTTTGACGCAAGAAAGCTAATTTTGGTTGATGGATACAAATGGAACTACGGTTTGTGGAAGCCGCACGTGACAATAGCGAGGACGAGGTCATAGCGAGTCACGGTAGACTGAAACAAAACCACACGGTGGCTCTTAGGAGTTTCCAGGTTATTCTAATCGGTCTTAGCAGAAGTTCACTTGGGCTTGTGGGATAAACGAATGAATCGATTAGGGAACACAACGTTCGGTACATACGCGAAAGTCTTGCATCGTTTTGCCAAGCTCGCGGCGTTTGATTTCAGCAATGCGAGCATTTTCTCGCTCTTCTTCCAAGCGCGCTCGACGTTTCTCTTCCATTAATTGGTAGGCCGCACTCACACGTTGATCCAAAGGAGCTGGATCAGACTGACTGGTTTGTGCTTGCTCCTGGTGGTCTTCATCATTTCTACAGACAGTGGGCTCTTTGGTGGTTTCTGTTGAGCAAGCTGAAATAGTGGTACACAGACGCGATGACAGTTTGAATGAATCCCGCATTACAATATTTTGAAGTTCAATAACGCGAATCACACTATCGAGCAGATCTAATATGGATCAGTTGATCAACCAAAGACCGGTAATCTGACTGGTCACTCCATCCACTTGCCTGTGGGAACCTGTAATTTCATCTAATAATTGTCATGCCTCGTATCGATGTGACAGACAGATGTCTGCAGACAAACAGACCTAAAAGTAAGCAAGCAGGCGCTAAGACGTGAAGCGGTCGAGAAGCAAATGGTAGAAAACACTAGATGGAACCTACAGCTGGCGATATAAAATTAAGCTGGGCAAAGTCAACAAATCAAGAGCGTATGGCCAAGAGAAGCAAATCGATATGAAAATATACGGCAAGATTATGCGTTTCAAGGCTACCAAGCACCAGTACAGAGGATAGAAGGAACGCATGCTTCAAGAGAATCGGAATTCGAAAAAACTTGATTCAAAGACAAATGACTCAAGGATAAAGATCTACCTGGGTCTTTTTAAGTTATAGCTTTAACCATTTTAGTGAGAAAAACGAAACGGTATTCACGGAACGAAGTAAATGACTGAACGCCAACTGACGTAAAGCACATGAGTTAGGGTTGGACTAACTTTCGACTGATTACATGAGCAGCCTGCATTGGCACAAGTTGCTATGCTACCCTACCAACACCGGCAACTATATATATATATATATATATATATATATATATATATA